ATCGGGGGAGGGGGCTCCCTGCTTGGTATAGGCACTGATATAGGTGGCAGTATCCGTATTCCTGCATCCTTCTGTGGAATCTGTGGTTTCAAACCAACTGCAGGTCGGCTCAGGTGGGTCTCATTCAGTCAGTTCTTAGAAATTTATTATACATTGCTGAGTTTTATGTTTTATATGTTAACTTTTATGTTTGTTAACACCTTTTGTGTAATGATTAGTTTACAGGGAGTTCGTCCAATTTATCGAGGGCAAAAGACAGGTAAGTGACATATCTGCTTACTAAACAAAGTAAAATGTGATGTTGCATAACTGCTGTCTTGCAATATTCCACAGTCTGGGAATTTTGTTTACTGCTTCTTGTTATATATTAAACTAGTGTCGTCATCTGCTGGACCCATGGCAAGAGATGTGGACAGCCTGGCTCTGTGCATGCAGGCACTTCTTTGTGACCACATGTTTTCTTTGGACCCCACCATTACCTTTTAATATGGAGGTGTGTCTGTTGATGACAATTTTTGTAATTGCCTGATAAGCTAGCTTTTCACTCTTAAACAACATGATATTGTTTACATAAATAAACATGCTTTTGTTTGCTTTGGATATTTTTGTAGGTGGTTTGTTGGATTTTCTTATTTAAACTCCTAAGACACGAACTCTTCCATGGCATGCATTTTTAATTTCGCTTTGATATTTGGGCATATTGGGACCCGATGAATGTAAAAACAAAGAATTACCAGATTTATTTTTTTTTTTTTACCAGATTTTTGTTTTTAAGAAAAATGACAGCCACATATGAGGATATTCATTTAAAATTTCGATAGAACAGTGGCAGGACAATACCCTCGTAAGTGGACATCAGGCCCTTATTGAGCAAAATTTAATATTTTGGTCTAGACAACCCAAAATGTGATGTCCACGTATGTAGACGCCAGGTGCTAGAAGGTTAAGGTGAAAGGTGAAGGTGAAATGAAGACTGTTCAGGATTATTTTACTGGACTTTGACCAGATAGTTACTAAATATTCAAACTTGTAAATGAATGAAATGGCTTATTGTCTTAACACACTTATTAAATGTATTAATGTCTTAGAATAAACAATACATTAACATTTATATTTAAAAAAAAGTTACCTAAAGGCCATCTAATTATGTTTAATTGACTCAAAAAATCAAAATGATTCCCTCTTAGATATACAGAAGCTCCACACCTCTAAGGATTGGTTATTTGGAAAATGATGGCTACACGCATCCATCTCCAAGCATGGCCCGAGGCGTCAGAGAGGTCAAAGCTCTGCTAGAGCAGGC